TTAATGCCAGAAAATATTTCGGAGCCCCCCCTTAACATCTTCATCCCCCCCTCGGCATAATAAATGTACTTTCCCTTATTAAAGTTTTAAATCCCAGACAAGCTAGGAAACACGTTTTCTAGTTTGCCTGGGGTTTCAAATTATACATCTTTAAGAATTTTTACCTCTTTTCATGTTGTTCTTTTGCTTCACCTTTAGAGCCCACAGCCATTACTTTTGTCTCTATATTAAATGCCTTCTGAGAAGCACATTCTTGAAACTATATGGCAAAAAAATAAAATTTTAATAAGAAGTTCGCGGATTTGGAAGGGAAACTTGAGTTGCACAAGCTTTTCTGCACACGAGGCTTAAACAGTTAAACTACTAGAACTTTATAAATTTTTACCTCACTTCAATACTTCATCCCGTTTTTCACCTTCCCTAAAGACCTTAGGGTTAAGGGACATACATGTCTCGCCTCTTCAGCACCTTTTTGTCGAGTCAACAATAAGGTAGAAAAGTAAAAATTACAACGAATAGCCATTGTTTAATACAATAATTGTTACCGTTTGATATTTGTTTGACCCTTGACCCAAAAGTGAACTTTAATTTTTCCCGCCACGAGCCTGTAATGGCCGCATGGTTTTTTCTGCGGTTTTGTTGGAAACTTCATCTTATATACATATGATGGATCCAAATAATGGTGTAAATGGCTTCTTGTGTTGAAAAAAAAAATTCTAGTAGTACCTGAGACCTATGGTGACATCAACTGGGCTGAAAAATGGTTCACTCCAACAAAGACCTAAAAAATAACCCATACCAATTGTTTTTACCAGTTTACCACGAAGTAGTACACTGTTCTACCGTCGTTTTTTTTAATATATACCGCTGAGTATTAGGGTAATCATTATTTTTTAAATAAAAACCGAATATAAATTATAAAATAATTTCGAAAAAGAATCATACAGACATATACACCATTTATTTTTATAGTTCAGTGAAACATTAGCGAGAGTTAAAAAAGACTAGGCTCGAGTTATTCGTTCCCACAATTCCGCGCGAGCTTCTTCTCATTCCTTTTCAATCTTTGCTAAAAAGCTTTCAGCAAAAAATATAAAATGGGTCACCAAAACTTGTGGTTTAGTCATCCTAGAAACTTCGGGCCAGGCTCTAGAAGCTGGTAAGATATAATCCAGTGTATAAACTTGCTATATATTAAATTTGAGCTGCCGATTAGTCGCGCGTTTCGAAATAAAGCGGTTTTAAAAATTGCATTCTGAACATATTGAATTTTCAAGATGGCGGCCTAGACACGTGTTATTGTTGTTTGTATACCACAGTAAGGGAAGAATAAGTGATTTTAGATGCATAACCGCTAGAGACTGAAGTTTACAATGCCACATGCAAAGCAGTCTTGAAATTAAAAGTTAGTGCATTTTCAAATGTGAGGTCTAGTGTAGGTATTTATATTTTATAGCTGCTATGGTTTGTGTTTATTTAAAATCGCATGAAAAATTTAAACACTCTTCGACTCCTTGTAGAGGAGGACCTTTACTCTAAACGTCAAAGTGTGTTAAATGTCTTTTGATACTTCAAACCACGGCAGCTTTACGACGTTTTGACAGTAATACCATCTAATTTATTTCATAGCCGAGTATGCTCAAACCGACATGGTTTAATTCGCAAGTATGGTATCAACATGTGCCGTCAGTGCTTCAGACAATATGCCAAAGACATTGGATTTCAGAAGGTGTGTGGATTGTAAAATTACACATAAATACCAGTATGCAATTCACAGGGTTTTTCAAACCCATGAAAATATGCCCCCCCCCCCTTATCCCTGAAATTCATAGCCATCCCCCCAAACAAAAGTCAACATTGACTATGGCTTTAACAGTAGCTATTATCACACCACTGGATACATTCCCTTACGACATCTTCACCCCCTACCATTTACTACATATGTCTCAATGGTAATTTAATCTTTTCTATTTTAGTTCCATTGAGAACACCATAAGAACTGAAGATCATGCTGCAAAGGCAAAGATTATAAGACTTACCTGTGTTTGTAAAATGGTCTGTTGAGCAATAAAAATATTCCAAATAAATACTGTTATTGTTTTGCATAAATTATGATAGACTGGGGTACCTCTTGGGAATTGTGTTGGGCAATGAAAAGCAAGGATAGATCCACAACTGCCGTGGTTCAGTGTCCACTGGTTCATACTAGTTTGGCTCTTTCTGTGGGTTTCATTCTCGTATCCATTGTTTGGGCATAAATACCTGTGGTTACGGTTCCCGACCGACCCTATTTTTTCTGCCGACCCTACTATTTTTTCAACGTGATTGACTGTGCGACCCTATTTTCTCTGGGTGGTTGCGGGCTGCTGCCAAAATGGCGTCTGTTGTCACACTAATTATTAAAAAAAAAAATGAAAAAAATATTTAAAAAAATTATTTCCGACCTACTGACCCCAATTTTTTCACGATATGAAACCAGAACCACAGGTATTTTTTTTACGCCTTGATTATTTTGCCAGAAAGATGCTTTATGATTATCAAAACTTTACATACCAAATTTGATCGTGATGACTGCTTATTAATAAGCCATTGAGCCTTACCTTGATGAGTAAAATGGTCTGGCGTTTACACAGAGTAAACCAGTAAACTAGGGCATGATAGTACTCCATCATATAAAGAAAAATTCATGAGTCATGCAAAGTTAATAAGGTCAATTCACTGAATAGAATTATTTATTTGTTTAAAATATTCGATATTATATTATATAATCTGCAATATATAAATTTTTTATATATTAAAAAATTCATCAAGCCAAATTGCAACCCTAGTGAGTAATAAATATCTATGGTCAAGTCTTCCAAATTGGTCTACACACATTTTACCATGTACTTTTCTGCTCGTCTGACCTGTTGTGCTATACCTGCTTGGCTGCTTCTACCTTGTAAATGCCTTTCTGATCTTCGGCTGATCGCCCCTTATGTTTTCAGATTCAAACTATGCAGCATCATCAAGCATATGCAAAGCGGCACCAAGTGCCCAGCTGACTTCTACATTATTGATTTTTCTTGCAATCTGCAATAAATCATTAAAATAATTTATACCATAGAGAGGGGTCATAAGTAAGCGCAAGACGAACCAGCTACTGTATGTGTTCAGACTAAGTCCATAGTTTGCAAAGGAGTCTTACTCCCCTTTTTTAACCCCCCTCCCTTACCATTGCCCCCCCTCCTTTCAAAACTTCCAAACCCGCTTTTACGACAACTGTTTCAGAGAACAAAATTTGATAGGTCAAAGCTTGCAAATGGCACGCAATTACCAAGGTTTGCTGTAAGTATTATCCAAACAAAATTCCATCAAGAAATCCGGTCTTGATTTTCTGCACTTTGAAAAAACGTCTTGCTCAGCCATCTTTATAACAGTTTTCTGCTCATTCCCCCGCCTGTTAAACCAAAGCACTTCTTTTCAGTAACCCCCCATTGTTACAAAAAGGTTTTCATCACACCCCCCCCTTTTGGGATGGTTTATCCCCCTCCCCCTTAAGAAAGGGGCGGGAAGGGTTCGAACAATGAGACTGACATTGGTTCTGGTAACTGATTATGTCTGATGTGTTCCAAACAAAATCGGATCAATGGTTTTAAGAAGAACTATATGTACAGTTCAGTGATAGTTCGTCTTGACAGCTGATCTGTCCGGTTGCCACGTTGATTCGCAGACGGCAGACCAATTGTTAAGTCCCACTTCCACTCAGGAAAATTTTCCGCAGAAAGAAAATTTTGTAAAATGTGATACGGCCAACATAAATTTTCCGTTGGAAAAAATTTTGAAGTTGCTAATTTTCAACTTTTAACAATGATATTTTCGGAAAACTTTCTGTCCGTGGAAAATTTTCTCGAGTGGAAATGGTCTCTTAGAGAAGTGATATTTTCTTTGCCTAAGTTCTGACAGATTGTCCTTCTCTGCAGGTAGAAGTCTGTAAATTAACGTAACATGGTATGAACAGTGTTATACGTACAAATAAAGAGTCACCTGTAGAAATTGAGAGTCACGAAAACCATAACCTTTTCTTAATAAAGTCGTGATGTACACTGCATCAAGACAAAGGAACGGAGACTTGTTTAGTTTTTTGTAACTTTCCATTGAGCATACTGAAAAATAAAAAAACAGCATGCAGTCACCATATCTTGGTCGCATATACACACGCAACGGCCCATAACATGTTTCTGCAAACAAGTTGTTACAAATTGTTCACAAGCTGTTGGCAAGTTGTGTTCGCACTGCTTGTTCCTAGTTGTTGCAACAAGTTTGGAACAAGCAGTTAACAAGTTGTAACAAGCTTGATGGCATTATCAGACTTGTTACAAGGTTGTTCTAACAAGTCTGATACAGTCATGATATAACAAGAATGTTACAAGGTTGACGACACAAGGTTGTAACAATGTTGTTATATCATGACTGTATCGGACTTGTTGGGACAACCTTGTAACAAGTCTGATAATATCAACAAGGTTGTAACAAGTTGTTAACAAGTTGTTAACAGCTTGTTCCAAACTTGTTGACAACTTGGGACAAGCAGTGCGAACACAACTTGTTGACGGCTTGTTGGCAGACTTGCTACAAGATGTGAGATTCTTGCGTGTGTACCTTAGGGACGGACCATTAGAAAAGTGATCGGGAGGGATTTTCTGAGAGGCAATATTTTTTTTTGTATACCTATAGAATTTTTTTTTCTCACTTGATGGCTGGAAATATTTTTTTAAGTGAATTTTATAGGCTTATCTTCCAAGCAAGGAATTTTTTTTGCACTATGCCTGGGAAGATTTTTTCCCCTAATTTTTTTCTGGGAATAATTTTTTTTTTTTTTACTTCCCAATCACTAGTTTTCTAATGGTCCGTCCCTTACGATCCCACTTTAGGGTGAAACCAACGCGGTAGTGAAAATTTTGGGCTAAGCCAAGTCCAAAATATATACTAAGCATATACGTCTATATATTTATTCTTAAAAGTAACCGACCTTACCTTTCTTAGCAGCTTCTAGGTAACTTTCAAGCGACAGTAATCCGCCGTTATCGTGACCTATAGAAAACCAGGCGAATGCAAAAATTGGTGCGAAAAATTGGTGCGACACTGCTACTTATTGGATACATTGAATATTCATCGGAGTGAATAGCTGGATTTCACTAAGCACTATCGTGGGCAAGATGGTAGTCAACCTGTAGTTATCAGAGTGAGAAAATAATGTTTATTTTTAATGTATGAAGTGTTGTTTTTGGAGGCAAATATACTGTATATAATTGTGTGGTGTAGTTGAATTTCTGAAGTTGATAACCATCCAGAGACTTAACAATGTAGCCGTCCAAAAGTGCTGCTCTAAGTCTGTCCCTCCCCCTCAAAACATTATGTTTCCCTTGGAATAATTTTCGAATCAGAACTTCATCTTCTAAAAACATGCTTAGCCAAGGATGGATCCAGCATGATCTGGTGGGTGTTCTGCCAGCTCTGGTGCCGAGTTGTGTCGGTCATGTGTGCCGTCCGCCCATCAACTTGCTTGACTACTGCAAAGTCTTGCTTGATCACGTATTTGAATTGTAATTGTTTTCACAGTTTGCTAATTATCATCATGTTATTACACAAATTACTGTATCTCATTTTGTCTCTAATAATTTTTTGCTCTATCATGAAAAATAGCACCCCCTGCACCCCCTCTGGCCAGGACTAGGGGGGTGCCCCCGCATCCCCCAGTAAATCCATCCCTGTTCTTAGCATTCAAAGGAACACGTGTAATTGCAGAGGCCGCGGAAGCATTTCGAAAGTGGAGTGGCATCGGCCAAAAGGAGCACTTTTGTATACGACCAAAATCAAACGATTTTATGTCGTTAATGAGCCGAACGAAAATTGTTGAAAATATGGAGTCTCTATAACGTCGGAAATGGCCTTTACAGAGTCTATACTACTACAAAAAGAGCACTTTCTTTTCAGCAAAAGAGGGCGTTCATTCAAGAAATACTTTTTCATTCTTTAAATGGGGCACTTTAGCCCAGAAAAAGAGCACTTTTTTCAATTTTGAAAAAAGTGGGGGGGGGGGGGCACATGCTCCAATTGCCCCCGCGGCCCCTACGTGTAAAACTGCGCTCGCCAATGAAGAGCAAACATCAACAAAATTGGTCTTTTAATGTCCAGGTCGGTTGACCATTCGTTAATATTGGCTGAGCTACAGCTAACTTAGCTAATTGGAATCTTGTTTGCTTGTGGACGCTGAGGTCAAAGTATGTGCAGCAACTGCTGAAGTTTTGTTTTTAAGATTTATCATTTTGTGCCCGTCCACACCGATTAAAAAAATCCCCGTCTAGAAGACGGGTCTCCACCTAATCTCATGGCACCATCTGCTGCCTTGCAACGTTTCCAGAATCGCAATGGAGCAAATGGTTACTTACCCACTAAGCCAAGTGCAATTGCAATGTCATGAAAATATGAGAACGCAAAAAATCTCCTGTCCACAATTTCCGCTGCAAGAAATAATGTAATCAATTCATTAAAACCTAGTTTCCATTTGAAGATATATCAAGTTGAAGACGACTAAATGTAAACATTTCCATGACAAAAATGACGAATGTTTGGTAAGTAACATACCTGGTTGGTGAACATTGGTTACAATCTGTTCAATATAGTGTAGACAGTTTTCGTAGTTGAATGATCTGTTACCACTAGGAATAGAAAAATTATGTCAATAAAGAACGAGGAACGGCCAGGACCGGTTTAGGACTGCGCAGGGTATACATGCCTCTGATGGGTATCTTTTTTGAGATGCTGCTGCAGCAGTATATATTACAGTATTCCCATATATGGCCAATGGCTTCGACGGGTAAAGCGGAATGAATTAATTACAAGCGTGCGTGTTCTATGCTATCTCCATATTTTCTTGATACTTACTGAACAACAAAGTCATTTCCAGAAAAAGACCAGGATCCTTTGTATGAAGGAAGTATACATGGACTTGAACTGATGTTTCCTGAGATGAGGAAAGTTTGTAATAAAATTTTGATCATTTCAGGGTGCGATAATTCGCGTTGTTACATGCCGGACGTACGCCAATAGAGAGGTGCAGATTTGACTTGACCACTAGCTCTGACTGGCTTAGCCCGCATCTGATTGGTCAATCGGATATTTGAAACGCATCTGATTGGTCAATCGGATATATGGAACGCATCTGATTGGTCAATCGGATAAATGGAACGCATCTGATTGGTCAATCGGATATATGGAACGCATCTGATTGGTCAATAGTCCCTTAAATCTGAACCTCTCTAATATTACGGTTTGGGACTTTTTTTATTTCAGTGAAGCTCCACGCAGGTTGTACGAAGGACTCTAGATATCTGTAATCATTCGAATACCATATGACTAAAAATCTTGATATACTTTAAGTCTTGACAATATATGAACAACGATTTTGTTAATTTTGACAATTTGATTTTCTTACCATTTCCGCTCAATGTAGTAAAATTTAATACAGCTTGCCTCGCAGACATCAAACCCAAACCCAGATAACTACAAACAGAAATATAAAATAATTGCTATAGTATAGCAGTAAATATTTGGAGCGGCGTTTTGAAAAGTCAGGGACTGGTTGTTCAAAGTACATTAGTACCACCCCTAGGTATTGCATTTCTCTACTTCTACATAAAACTGTTATCAATGCACAAAAGATTTCTGGAAAAAATATTTCAAAGTTTTTTTTCTGTGTTGGTGTAATGTACAGATATATACTCAGGTGAATATGATGCTTGTGATGTTACTCTGAGTGTACGCAATTTACAAGTTGTTGGGAAATTCGCTTTGAAGTTTTGCACTATTAAATCTACAGTAAGTAATTGTTCCCGAAATGAGAATGTGCTGAAACTTCCCAGGCATGGAGTTTATGATATACTTAAAGTAAAATCACACAAAAAAGTTGGGGTCACCGAACTCGTTAAGAAGATATGACAATCACAATATACCACCTTTACCCCAATATGGCGCCATCTTGACGCTCATTACAGGTAACAGCAAAATCACAACAGCCCGGTATTTATTGACGTTTTTAGCGCGGATTTTGCATTAGTAAACCTATCTTGTAATTATTTTTGAAAAAATATTGTGTTTTGAGCAAAATGAAACTACTAACGTGTACAATTCTGATTCACAAATGTCTTTTCCACATTTCTTTACATATCTTTCTTAGAGAACATGCAATGATAAAGGATTTTTTTTCAAGATCCAGAAATGATTTTTCTTTTAATTTCGGATATGAAATGTAAAATGCATTAAAGAAATAAATTATCAGTTAAAAAACGGGGGTCACCGATCTTTTTAGGGAATTGTGGCATTAAAACGTGAAATACAAGTAAATAAATATACTACAGACACAGGGAACCCTAGCTACACTTTTGCATGCCTTTTTTGAAAACATTGATTTTAACGTAATTCTTTGCACGAATGTAACCAAAGATGTTTTGAAGTAACATAAAATTGTCATAAAATGATTTTTTTTTAAACGGTACGTATAATGAATGAAATTATAAGTTATAAGATGTGCGCAGTAAAAGTGCGCAATGCAAAACTGCGGAATTACCTTAACCAGCGGTCGAACAAGCAGAGACAGAGTATAGTCAGACATCATACCTATAGGAATACAAGTCATGTTTGGCTCCCATTATTTTAACAGTGTTCATGTGCGTCTCTGGACTTGATAGGATTGTTTCCTTGAAGAAGAAACACGAACGAGTCAGTTATAGAAATTTAAAAAAACTAAATTTTAATCCAGCGTTACCAGGCAGCTTCATTTTCGGTGGCTTTGTGTAGACTGACCAGTACAAAATACTTTAATATGGACAGTGACAGAGTGTTCATCATTACATCAATTAGGATTTACATGAAATGTTCATTCTTGAATCTTAGAATATAAATTGGTTTTATAAGCGTGGATGAACATTTTATCCATGTGGCATGTAAATCTTGATGATGGGTGCTGAGTCCAAAAGCTCGGTATTCAGTTTTTGAAAATAATACAGACTGGTCAAAAAAGTTTTCTACCAGTTTACACATAAGATCACCGAAAGAGAAAAGCCAACACTCACCTTTGACATTGGTTTGAAAACAATCTGTGCAGATCCACCTCCGAGATCCAGAGCACCCAATGTTTCACCCGATGGCTTCACAAGATTGCCTAGGTGTGGAAAAGAAACAATGTATACGAGTGTGAAAGAAAGAAATATAAAAGTACTACAGTATTTACAACATGAGCAGCTGTGTTGTATCAGATACACATATTCTTCAACAATTTAAAATATACTGTATGAATGATATTTGGTGAAAAATTTGAACTTAAAGTTTATGTAAATCAGCATGATTTTCTATCAGATATTCAAACTCCTTCACAGTTATGATTTATCAGGGTTTGAAAAACTAGACGAGCACACAAGCACTGCTTGCAGGAAATGTTTAACAGCTGCAGGCGAATTTGTTTGAATGAAGATTTGCTATTGAAAATTTGAAGGAAACCTTAACACCCATGTCCCACTATGGGCGCAACAACATATGATTGACAGACATTAATTATCCCTTGAATTTAAGACCATGGTCAGCTAGAATAATATATGTTTATGCACATGCAGATTTAGCACAAAAATACTCTGTTGGTCGGCAGGAAATTTTTGTCTTCAGCTTATACTCCCAGGAAGAAAATTCTTTTTTCTTGCCCTGTGATTTATTTTGTGTTATTAACTTACCAGATAAAAAATTCAGTGTTGTCCAGGCAAAAATACCTACAAGTGTAAAACAAAAAGTTAAGAAGTTTTTATATATAAATGTGCATGACATTTTGCCATCAGACAATTTCAAAGTCTTACCTTCGTCATCTCCATTCATGATGGAGATAAAATCAGAATCAATCTTCTTGAATGGCGTCACCATCAATAACTTGCGTACCTTTTTGAAGATAAAGAAAGTATGTAGGATTGTGAGCTAAATTATTATTTGGATTACTTTCCATTAATTTCACAATTTGAGTATATCATCAATAATATTTATAACCTTTTCAGTAATATTAATTGTCTCTTAAAATGATGTAGATAAACAAATAACGATCTTGTCTTCAATAATTCTCATTATCTTTTCAAGATTATCTCTTGATTACTTCAGTAATATTGATTACTTCTTCAATAATATTGATTATGTACTCAATGATATTGATAATCTATTCAATGATATTGATTATCTATTCAATGATATTGATTATCTATTCAATAACATTGATTGTCTATTCAATAATATTGATCATGCACCTCTTCAATAATATTATGTGACAAACTATCGGGTAGAAGACGCAGACCAGCAGTTGCTCTAAGAGATACAGGTGTTGACTTCCATTTATTCCTTGGAACAACATCTAAAGCTTTCTTCAAGAGACCACTGACTGAATATACTCCCTAAATAAAGTGACATAACCTAGATTAAACATCTTTGAAGCAAATAATCTTAACAAGAGCCAAGGCCTAGGCTTGCACAGTTTTGCTTAAAATCAAAACCGAAAAACTGTCCGATTCTAAAACCGAAAACCGTTTTTTTCCCTTTAATTTTTACTTCAACTGAATGAGGAGGAATTGTGGTATTTTTTTACATATTACGCAAATGAACAGTACATATGACCAGGGTGTTAGCCAGGCGGCCGTCCGACCGTCCTACGGACGGCCACTTCTGAATTCCGAATTTGGACGGCTAAATTTTAATGGACGGCCCAAGGGAATATTTTCTTTAAATAGCAATTTACAAGCTTTGTAATATTTCTTGAATACTTTGAATTGTTGTCATCTGCTCTTTACTTTACTTATGGTATATGTTTTCATACTTTTTCCTATTGAAAACACGTTGAATATGGCTGAATTGAAGTATCGACAAATGCGCCATGTTTTTGTAACCATGTTGATGATTCTCGCATGAAATATCATAAATTTTTAATAGATATCACATTTTATTGCTACAGACCTTCTCGGGTTTCGTGGGGTAGTATGACAACCCTGGTTCAATTTCTTTAAAGTCTGAGTTTTCTAACTTGATACCTTTGAAACAAATGTATAACAATTACCACATATTACTTGGTGCCTGGGCAGATAGGCAGGTCAGCACATCATATATAGAACTACTTCTTCATAAAGAGAAAAACTCTCCTGTGTATTATTCTACATCTGTCTAACATCAGACAATTTTACTTGTCAAGGGGAGAGTGCTGGAATTCAATGGGTTAATCAGACTATCTGTCCAATGTATCTTGCACCCTATTTAATTACTGTCGTTCCAATTGAAGTGTTGCTCAAATATTGATTCAATACATTACCTCGGGCTGACCAATTCAGTTGATCAAGTTCCTCGAGATATTCATACACTTCCTGTGAAAGAGCCAATTCCAAGTATTTGATCATTTCTGGTCACTTCCTTTCTATTTATGATTGGTTAGTTGCACAAACAACAAAGGTGATTGGTGCATTCAAACTATTCAACAGGAAGTTTACAATTATACTAGGAAGTGTATGAATATCTCGAGGAACTTGATGAAATGAATTGGTCAGCCAGAGGTAATGTATTGAATCAATATTTGAGCAACACTTCAATTGGAACGACAGTAATGCACCCTACTTTATCATTTTACTCTGTTTAATGCCAGCCAATTTTATTTGTCAAGTGGAGATTGCTGGTGCACAATGGGTTAATTAGCATTGCACTTAATTGACAAGAGACAATTGGGCAGATTACAGTTTACTTTGGATAACATATTATTTACCCATTGAGTGATTCCCCTTGACAAGTGAAATAGTCTGGTGTTAGACATAATATAATAATAAAATAGGGTTCATTTGGGCTCATTGACACTTAAAGGGTTAACAGGATGCATAGTGTGATTTACCCATTAAGTAGCAGCACACTCCCTCTTGACAAGTAAAATTGTGTGCCGTTAGACAGAGTAAAATAATAAAGTAGGGCACATTGCCCCTTAATGGGTTAATGACCATTAACACTGTCCCTTGGGGAGTAAAAATTGTCTACTTGTCCTGCAATTGCTTTGACCAGCTACTCATATCACACACTTTTTAAAAGAGAATGGTAAGTTTGCATCCCATTTATGTAGTACCCCCTCCTCGCTTTGTGGAACAAAGTCGAAGCAGGACATTGAAGGGGAGGTCTTCGAGAGGAGAGCACTGGCATAATTATAAACAATATAAAAATTCTAGTTAATCCACTAACCTGTTATAGATTGACGAAATCTAAATATATGAACTCTACTACCAGTGCTTCCAGCATCAATAACAACCTGATATAACAACTTGGTAGCAGGGAAATATCTTGATAGCACAGGACATGTAGCTGGCATTATGAACCTCCATAGCACAGAATTGCATATATATCCATTCTCAATGCTACTATACGATATTGTTTCATCACAATAAATCCCAAGAAGCCCCAAAAGCGTTAAAATAACAAACATAAAATAAAGACAACGTCCTCTATTCGCTGCCATATTTTTAAAGATACTTTGTAATTTGTATATTATCGTTTATCAAAATTTCTATCAAGTGTTTGTCCTTTCCGTTTCATCTTGTAAAATGCTTGTTTATGCTCTTTTTAAATGAATATTTTCGACGTAGTCCATCATTTCTATGGGAACAAAGCCAGCTTATTCAAAGATAAGGATTTTTAAATGATCACACTTGCAAGCAACCATGAAAATATATCAAATGATGATTCATTTACAAAGGGACCATTGTTTCATTCTATCTGTTATTCAAAACCTACAAACAAAACGGGCGCCCAGTTTCCATACACTTTAATCAAGATTTATCTTCGTTTTAGCAACCACAATTAAATTATATTTAATCAAAAGAAAGTGTAAAAATATTGGCAAAATTATGTAATTTTTTGTTTTTCTCGAAAAACGTGTAAAACGAAGATTACACGAATAGTTTCCGAAGATCTTACGAACCCTAATCGTGGTCTCCACGCGTGTTGACCACGTGCGGTTAACACGCGGGACTCCACGCGTTTGTTTGTCTGTTTGCACTGGTTTGCACCAGTGGTTTGCACTGTCTGTGGTAGGGACCGCTCGCAGTCTACTATATGTCTGTGGTCAACCCAGTGAACTCTACTACTGTATATAGTAGAGTTTACTGGGTCATAGGCTGGCCTTGGCTGGGTCAACCCAATGGGTCAAACCCTTTGACAAACCAAAGGACAAACAGACTCCATATGACGGACAAAAACAGATAAACAAACAGACAACCATTCCAAAACAAATGGACAAACAGACAGTGAGGTATAAACAACAAGACAGAATAGCCGTTTTCACATTAGAAGACGGACAAGTCGTCTAGACGAACAAATCGTCTCAAAATCGTCTTTTAGTCGAACAAATCATCAGATGTGAAAACGTGTCGGACAAAATTTTAGACGAACAAGTCGTCTGAATTTGTTCGACTCTTGTCCGTCTGTGAAGACGATTTTTGAGAGACGATTTGTTCGTCTAGACGACTTGTCCGTCTCTAATGTGAATAGGGCTAATGGCCTGAACAAACGGACAAACAGACGCTGTCATATGTCTGTTTGTTTATATCCAGCGTCTGTTTGTCCATTTGTTCAGAGATGTTTGTCTGTTTGTAATGTATCAGCGTCTGTTTGTCCATTTATTCAGGGAGTTTGTCTGTTTGTAAGGTTTCAGCGTCTGTTTGTCCATTTGTTCAGGGTGTTTGTCTGTTATCAGCGTCTGTTTGTTCATTTTTTTGGGAACGATTGTCTGTTTGCTACTTTGCCATGTCTCACTGTCTGTTTGTCCGTTTGTTCAGCAACGTTTGTCTGTTTGCTTGTGTCACAGAATAAAGATGCTTGTGTCTCAGCATCTGTTTGTCCGTTTGTTAAGAATGTCTTTATATCACCTCAGCTGGTTCCGGGTTTGGTTACTTGGTTGGTTGTCACCTATTTTTATTGTTCCATCTTTTCAGATAAATGGTTAAGCTAACGCAACATAGATAATGTAAACGGCAACAAAAGTAGAGGGAATAAGTACATATTTACTTTGAAAATTTAAACAAACACATTTGCTATATAAAAAGGTTCATACTTGACCGACCAACATTCAACAAGCTGCAGACGCAACTAAACGAAAGCATGAGTATATTTTCTGCAGACGCAAACGAAACTATGAGTATATTTGATGCAATGTAAGATCTTACTATCATGAAAAAACTTTGCAGATAAAATATTGAAGGAATGGTTTTATACAGTAATACAATTTATATAAAAGTACAGTAACTATATGTAATGAACTGCGCAAACTAGATCGTGAGCCTTACGCATCCTCGTTGGAAAGTCCCTGCGAAGGAGGTTGCCTTTAACGTTGAGGTGTAAAGTAACACATATCTAGGAATTCGCTTCACAGGATTGGTCAGCGAGGTAAGAATACGATATTGACATAGCCGGTTCAACATCTGAACGAAATTATAGCTCCAGGCTGTCATTATTCTGTTAATTGGTCCACTGCTTGATGACATAGTGAATTGACAGAAATTTGCTGGGGATTGGGCTCACGGCCAGCCAGCCATTACTTCAAGACTTCACTACAGGAACAGATTCAAGGAGTTTATGGTTTGATCACTTCATCCTTGTACTTCATACAGTGTAATAGTACAGTTTTCCTGAGAACTTTATACAACTGGCAACTATATTATTCAAAGAGTCGTCACTTTGGGGCTTTTGATCTGAGAAGCTGACATCTTTATGTTTGTACTCTGCCTTCAAATTAAAGTGAAGCCATACACTTCATCTTTCTTGATTGAAGATCATAAACTACTGTTTCTCACTAGAAAAGACGTGTAGTTCTTACTGTAAAGCAAGATTCTAATCTGACAGAGATTATACAAAACAAATTCTAAATCGTAGAAAGATTTTCTTGCTAGAATCAAAGTGAAGGAACGGAGTACTATTAAAAGTCTAAACTGATCCAAGCAAGGCGAAGGACTGCTTGACCTCTTAGTAATTAATCTCTGATCTTCGTACTTATTTAAACCAAGTAAGAAAAATGTTGGATGGGCAAGGTCCTTCAAGAAGTAACCAGGAATCGAGCGAGGAACAAGCTAGCAGCAGTACAAGCTCAAGAACAGCTGCAGCTAAGAAGGAATCGAAATCAAGTGCTTCAAGAGCACCCAAGACACGTTCAACTGCTGCTAAAAGGTATAAGAAGGAAACCAACGTCTGAAATGTAGCTTCAGCCAAGCTCTATTTCACTCACAATCATTCGAAGATAATTTTGTTGACCATATGTGTTTGTACCGTACACAAACAGAGCTTATTCTCAACACTTTATCACACAAGCCCTCCCAGTCAGTGCGAATGACGCCCTCGTATACTTCATTTGCATCTTAACTTTAAACTCTTCGCACGGTGATATCGTGAATAGAGCGCTTTTCTAAATACGACAGCTGTTTAGAGCTTTCACTTCTCTTTCATTTGAATGTATTTTGACTAGCGTACGTCTAGGGAAACGCGAGAAAAGCGAGAGTGTAGTTAAGCCTTCCAAATGTCGCCATTGTCTTTGAACAAGACAGGGCAGATGACACGTTTATTAAATTTAAACAGTTTACTTGGCGTTTATTAGCGATCATGTATTCATTGTATTTTTATCAATCTATGTGCATCTCTCGCTCTAGGATTCAACGAGAATTGGCTGATATCACATTAGATCCACCTCCGAATTGCAGGTACGATTATTTTGACTAGAAGAAAAGTATTAAAAGTACTTGAAATCATTTCACGTTTAATACCCGGAACAATGACGGCTGACAGGCAGACGTCCGCTCAGTGAGACCTGATAATTTATCAAACAAACCTCATATTTGCATGAATGGATGGATGAACAAAAATCGAGAAGTTCAACTAGGGGAGATAGCTAACAATCGTACGATGATGAATTATTACTTCGTTTTGGAGTGCATGTCTCCATACTTGGCCAATATTTCGAATTAATCCACGTGCTTATCAGATTAAAGAATGCGTGTTTTATGTAACAATATTTAGAACAATATTTCACATTCGATGAAAAGCCACACTTTCGTCCGCAAAACAGGAATTCGATCCCTACAGTAAATAATGAGGCGATTAGATCCACGTTCGAACCTTTAATAGAATATTCAATCCTTCGGGCAAATTCGACAGCGATCTATTGATAATTTTTTCGTCGCGTAGTTTATTTGAACCGATAATTAAAATAGAGAAGTATCGGGTGGCGTCGAACAAAAATGGACTGTGCAATTACGTACGAAGCTCTGCGGTTTCTGGCCCAAAAATTTGTCACGTTCTAGCAAAAGTCACGAACAAGACAGCATCACGCGAGAAATGTAACAAGTACGCGTTATAAGCGATGTCAGTGTCAGTGTCGATGTGTTAATAGTCAGTCAAAAGCCGTATCAATGACGAAGGGCCTTCATCAGCAGCCGATTTCCACTACCGACAACTTTTGCCTGATGTCGCATGCAACCTGCTTACAACTTGAGTGCAAGGCAAAAGTTGTTTGGCCTATAAAATCGGCCTTCACTTCCAGGCATTGCGCTGCAAGCAGGGTCCTTCTTTCCACCAATCTGCAACTTCTCACTACGACACTAGGATTTTGCCGTAAGTTTTGTTAGTTAGGACTTAGGTGGACTTGGGTCAATGACAATGACTCAATGATTGTCGTGAAACGAGGGAGTACCCTGTTACAATGTTCAATGAGACATCCTGCTATCTTATCCTACAATAAGCTGCCGTGGTTTGTGACTGAACGTCTTGAGAAAGATATCTCAAACGAGGCGGTCTAGTGCGAGTTTTACTGCATGTACCCCGTTTACACTGCGCTCAATTTTTGGTACGGCACGGATAAAATTGGTACCCGTACCAAATTTATCCGCGCTCGGCTTTTGTAGACAGGTAGTCCGAGTACGGATAAAAATGGTACGGTACTACGGGTATCAAAACTGCTCTCTCCTCCGCAGACGCTTTAGTTGGCTATGCCGCCTATGATTACGATTAGTATTGAGATGACACACGAGCGGAGCTGCTGGGCGAAAGAGCGAATGTATCTCAATACTAATCGTAATCTGGCTCTGCTGAGGAGAGTGCCAAAACTGTCTGAGTGTAGTGCAAACTGATCTTTTAAAAAATCCATTCAAATGTCACCTATGAAACAATTGAATGACTAAAAAGACAGTATTTAGTTTTGTGTACGATTTAATAATGTGTATATTTAATAATGAATAATGAAGTAAATAGATTTGTACTTGTATAAAATTCAGAAAGATTTAAACTTTTCCGCGCACGTATGGAAAACGTATTCTACAATGTCAATGAGCCGCTTCGGCGGTTTATCTGAACTGTCGGAAAAAGAGGTTTCAAACGTGATGGTCCAGTGACAGTGTATGTACTATTCTACAATATTCAATAACTGCTGTGATTTGTGTCTAGTGAAAATCATATCTCAAACGTTGCGTCCAGTGTAGGTAGTATTCTACAATATTCAATAAGCTGCCATGGTTTGTATCTGAACTTAGTCTTGAGTAAGTCTGTGGGCCGGAATATTTTCGTTTTCGTCGACTTCCTGAATGGCTACGCTTCTTTGCCAGCTTGAAAGACAATGAAAGGCGACTAGTATTAAAGTACTAACTCAGAATTTCTATATCTTTTTCAGGTAGTTCAAACACAATCCACGACAGCTTATTGTAGAATACTAATGATCGATGTGCCTTATGCATTATCAAAACTGTTTATAGGCTATAGCGGCTCTGACTTCCAAAGGCAGCCGGAGCATTTGCTTCAAACGCCCAAAACCAAATGTTTCAAACAGAGACACGGAAGCCTATATTTTAGAAGAGTACTTCAGCTAATCAGCTTTGCATATATACAATTCCTCAAAATTTCGCTAGTTGTTACTGGTGATAAAAATATTTGCTCATTTTATTCTATTACACAGATATACAATAGAATATGAGTATCAATGCTGAACGACTGCTATGACCGATTTACACTGCACAACTTTTGCCTAAAACTGTCGCACATACAACTTGCTTAATACACTGTTACAACTAGAGTTGTACTGTGTAAATCAAGCACACATTCACCTACGACAAGTCGACAACGTAAGGGATTGTGTGCGTCATTTACACAGAAAAAAAAACAAGTTGTAAGTAAGCAGGTTGCCGCGATAGTTTTAGGCAAAAGTTATGTAAATTGGCCTTTAATATGCAGTCATTAGAGAGGTTAAGATACCCCGGTTTCGGTGCGTACGAGTAGTGTCATCTTGTTTTACTGATGTCTGTAATTCGATCATACTTTTTCTGTTTTCTTGCAATAGACAATGATATAATGCGAAAAATGTGCACCTTAATTACGAGTAAAGGTACAGACATCGACGAAAATATTGTTAACCAAAATCATGCTACCCATACACGTACACCGAAACCGGGGTATCTTAACCTCTCCGCTATATTGTCACAAATGTACGTGTTTGAGGTTTGACCTTTATTTCATTTCTCACAGCGCTGCACCGAAAGGCGACAATATTTACGAATGGGTGTCGACGATAATGGGGCCACCAGGCTCAGTTTACGAACGAGGAGTTTTCTTTCTTGACATACATTTCCCTCCAGACTATCCGTATAAACCACCGAAGGTAGGAAACATATCACTGACACTGTATTTTAGTATGAAATCTATTACTACAGTACTGTTGTCTACTTATATACAAATAAAGTTTGTAAAGATTGAACTGAATTGCAGAATATCTTGTCTGCTCTTGTAAAATTTGTAGGCCTTGTAGCAGAGCCCGTGCTGCTGTTAATTTTGTAAAAGGCTTTGAGACTTGCCACTTTACTGGCACGCGCGTATTAATGCTTTTGTGTCTTGATTAGAATGCGTAGCGTTAACTATAAAATTTGGTTATCGGAAATTGACATCTGTTAGTATTAATACTGCATGTATTCAACAAGTATATATAATTCTAATTTTTAATCTAGTCTATGTAAATTTAAGATGTTTAATACTTTGGTTGAATAAAGTTTGTTTGTTTGTGTTGAACGTGAAAAGTTATGAAAGTAGGCGTATTTTATAAAATTGTCTGAAGCGCATTTGTAAGCATACTGTATAGTTTTGATAGTATTTGAAAACTGGTAAATTATATACGTTTGGCGAGCCATACTCGTGATAAACTAATTAAACTATAAATAGTCTGAATTTATTCATAATGTCAATCATGGATTCTGAATACAGTATTATAAAAGACCAATATATTTATATTATTCAATGAGATTAGTTCTACGTATGGTTTATAAGTCTTATTAATAATTAAGATTCTGAATTTATGCAGTTGAGACAATTTGCCGTATATTTACCGCGCAAGGGGCGTTTGTTTGCGTCGATGTAAAAATTGGTTCAAATGTGCGCGAAATAATTTTTTTGCCAACTTTTCAAAGTTGTTGATTGATATTGACCTCTTATCAAAGCTCACTCAACGCCACTTTTGATCTTATGTAATTTGATTATGAAATAATTCGCAAATACAGTAACTGGCAGTCTCGTTTCCATAAAGTTTACCCCAGCAGAGTCAGAGAGTTTGGTTTTTAAAGCGATGTTACCGGTATATGCTCATATGGAAATAATATTAAAGTGTTTAGCTAGGAAAATTATCGTTTTTTCCTGCTGTGCCACGTTGACCTCCCGTGGTCACAGGTGAATCTCATGCTGTGCTATGAGAATTAATATGTCATCTCCTTCAGTACGCCACCGTGGATAAAAACTTTAATCAAAATCTAAAGATTTAGCAGCTTAAAACATTGTTTTTTTTATCTTGATTAAGACATGGGGAAAAAAATGCTTTTGTTTGCTAAGGGAATATATCATATAAATGTTCATTGCGTCTTCATAATTAATTATTATATATTTGCTAAAAAATGTCAAAATAATTGAATATATTACAGGTCGAAGCTTGTCATCAATCCATCATATTATAAGTATTTCCATATACTTACTCATTAACCCATTGAGTTACATTGCGCCATAGTGCACCCTATTTTATTATTTTTGCTCTGTCTATACACTTGCTTTCACACACAATGGGTTAGTCAGACTATCTGCCTGTTTGTACGAGAAATTAAGTTTTTGAATTTGTCATTTTTTTTACTGTAGGTAACATTTCGTACCAGAATTTATCACTGTAATATCAACAGTCAAGTAAGTGGGCTAAAATTTAACCAGCCAATGTAAACTATTACTGGACAACTTTATATCCACCATAAATAAAGTTAGACATCCTGACATCTGGGAAACAAGCCTAGCTGTTCTCCTATGTAGTTAATTGAAATGGATCAATAAGAGTTGCCTTTGGTGGACCTCTAGGGAGATTGGTTTAGAACTGATAGGACTATCCAGTATAAAGTCCCACATTTGGTTGTAACTGTCTTTGTTGTTCTTTCAGGGTCAAATATGTTTGGATATTTTCAAAGACAATTGGAGCCCAGCTTTGACAATTTCAAAAGTTTTACTTTCAATATGTTCCTTATTGACTGACTGTAATCCAGGTACGTATCACTGATCTCATAATATGTTTGTTTGTGCACTCACTGATCTCATAAGATATTGGACTGATGTGTGCACTTGCTGATGTCATAAGATAATGGACTGCTGTGTATCTGCCCACTGATCTAATATTTATTATTGATCCCTATAAGAAGCTGGACCATTATTTTTATGTTTACACTCAGTGTATATATCTTTTAAAGAAATACTAGCCCACTATGGCCATTCACTTATCTTTAAAAAACTAAATGTTTTTTTTTATTTACAAATAAAACTGAAATTTAAAATTATTTTTTTTAGATGATCCATTGGTGGGCAGTGTTGCAACACAATATCAAAATAACAGAGCCGAACACGACCGAATAGCAAAAGAATGGACTCAACGATATGCAACATAAATAGTAGCCCTCAGTAACACTCTGTGAACTATTGACATTTCTACAAGCTAGTAGCATTACATTAATGTTAAGAGAGTTAAGTTTAAAAACAAGCACAAAAACATGATTTTGTCTTGTGTTGTTTGAAGAAAATATTGAAATTAGTTTAGTATTTAAAACTAGAAAATCCTATATATCTAAATCATATTTAGTTACTTACAGGGGGGATGGGACACATCACAGTGTAAATACATTTATTTGTTAATAATAGTTTTGTTCATTATAACATACATGTACTTATTTTTTCTGTACAAAAAGTATGATTTTGCTTTCATCATGAAATTCATTCATTGAATTCCGAGCATTGTCGAATGGCTATATGTTTCTAGATTTATATGGCCTTAATATATCAAAATGTACCACCAACAGTTGATGAAAAAATTATATACAATATACATTGTGACAAAGATGACTTTCACATACACCTTGACCAAACCTCACTGTATATACATGTTGGGAATATTTCTATTTTTGTTACTCTCGTCGTAGATTTTCCAACCTAGAAAGAAAAAAACATTTTAAAGCAAAAAGCATGATTTGTAAGATCACACTTTTATGCACAAATGTTAGCCAGGGTCCTATTACTGTCGTTCCAATTGAAGTGTTGCTCAAATATTGATTCAATACATTACCTCGTGCTGACCAATTCATTTCATCAAGTTCCTCGAGATATTCATACACTTCCTAGTATAATTGTAAACTTCCTGTTGAATAGTTTGAATGCACCAATCACTTTTGTTGTTTGCACAACTAACCAATCATAAATAGAAAGGAAGTGACCAGAAATGATCAAATACTTGGAATTAGCTCTTTCACAGGAAGTGTATGAATATCTCGA